CCTGCCGGACGTGGGCGCGCCGAGGCGCGCGTTCTTCTCCTGGTAGAGCGTCAGCTGGCGGTCTATGGCGCCGGAAGCGCCGGACTTCAGCGCAGAGCAGAGCTCCGTGTCGAAGAGGTCCCATTTCTTGGGGATGTACTCGACGTCCTCGACGCGGCCGGCCTCGAACGCGCTCTTCACGCACTTCATCGTCCTGACCTTTGAGCGATTCGACACACGGCAACACTCTGTCATCAAAGCGTTGGTCCACTTCCGGAGACCAGCTGCACTCGTGAGGGGGTCGATCTTCATCTCCTTCACCGTCGTGCGGCGGCGCATGAAGGCCTCGTCCTCGTCCTCGCTGTCGCTGCTGGCAATGCAGTGCTGCGCTGGCGGGCTCGCCCCGATGCCTGAACTTGGCACGGTGCCCTGCGACGCTGCTGACGGCATCGCCGGTGCGGCGGCCAGCGGATCTGTTGCCGTAGGGTCTACGCGACTACGATTCGCCGCGTCCCCGATACGGAATCCCGAAGACGTCAACGGGTTGACGACTCTCTTGGCGAGCGGGGGCAGCATGGTGATCGGCGCACGCGGCGGTGGCGCCGGCGTCATCCCGACGTGCTGCGCGGATCTCTGAGCCACAGCCAGCTCCCGCCTGACCTCGGCCACCTTCCGCATCTCACTTTCCGCCAGTGCCTCTGTCCTCGTTGCCCTGGCGGTCGCCTCCGCGCAGCGCTGGAAGGCGTCGCTGATCTCGTTCCCCAACTTCTGGATGTACTCATTGGCCTCCGTGCTGAACACCTCAGAGTACCTGTTGCTCTCCTGAAGCTGCTCGTGGGTGGAGTCGCTCTGCCATCGCCACACCGCCGCCTCCTCGGACTCCTCGTGGACATGCTCTCGCAGCATGTCGATCCGCTCCTCGAAGACAGACTGCTCGTCGAGGAACAGCTTCTCCCGCGCCTCCACAGCGATCTGCTGGCGGGCCGTGGCGACGGCCTGCACGCGGGCGGCCTCAGCCGCGCGGGTGTGGGCGCGCAGCTCCAGCACGTCATTGCGCCCTTCGAGGTGGACGCACTCGTTTCGCAAGCCCTCCTCGGTCAAGCGCACGCGGCGCTCGGCGTTCGCCTCGAGCTCGCGGAACCTCGCGGCGACCTGCCGCTCGACCCCTTCCTCGGTCAAGAGGAACTGCTGCTGTTGTACGCCGAGTTCACCGTGAAGCTCTGCTCGGCAGCGGTCGCGGCATTCTTCCGCAATGCCCTCGACCACCTGCCTCCATCGAACATCCTGGTTCTGGGCCGCCTCGTGCTCTACGATCTCGACGCGCTGGCGGAGCTCCGCGAAGAGCTGCTGGTCCCTTAGCCGTTCGCGCTCTTGCGCCTCGGCCCGGATCGCCTGCATCTCGTGTCTCGCGCTGTGCTCCGCCGCCTGAATTGCCTCGTCCCTCACGCTGCTCTCGACAACCGCCTCGGCTGCGTAACGCTCTCGCAGTCGTCGTGCAACTGTCTCCTCTGCCTCCCAACGACTGCGTCTTGCTTCCACTTCGAACTCCTCCATCCTCTCGTGGATCCTCTCCTCGTCGACGTTCTCGATGATCCTGCTCAGCTCCCGGGCGAAGTCGGCGCTCAAGTCGGCCGCCTCGTCCGCGATCGGGATGTGGGGGGACCGGCTACGGTCCGCTGCTCCCTGCTGCTCCTGACGGCCCGGACTCGGCGGACCAGCCACCGGGTCCATCCCCGGCGGGCCTGCCAGTGGAATCAACGTTGGTCGATACGCCATTGTGGTTGAAAGCAAGGCTCTTAACTGTGGAAAAGACAAGTGTCTGTTGTTCCAACCGCCCTAGCTCTTGCTCGGTATTCTGGTTCCCGTTGGCCTCTACGTTGGCCTCGCTCGTTATGGCTTGTTGCTCGGTCTCCTGGACCTCCGTGTAGTACTGGGTTCTAGCTCTGACTTGCTCCCCGGCCCGTTTGGTCCGAGGTCGCCACTTGGCCTTTTTCCCATGCACCGGCACGTGGATCACAGAAGATACTGGCAGTTCAACCTGGTTAGGCTACAAACCCGTTTGGGCTTGAGCCAAAGTTGCATCGGAACGGAGAGCAGTGTCAAACACTTTTGTCTAACAGCTCGGTTCCCCTTTCACGCTCTACATTATGCGCAAGTGCGCACACGTCTTCTATCCCACTTAGTGGGATAACTGGTTTCTGCAAGATCCTATACACACGCGCCGCGGTGAGCCGCCCGAAGGCGCCACCAGCCCGGCGGAAATCGGTCCGACAAGTCGGCTTGGGCACAGAGACGCAACACTCCCCAGAGCACCCGCAACCGAGGCGCGCCGCGGTGAGCGCCGAATGGCGCCACCAGGCCGGCGGCCACGAGGCAGAAGTGGGACGATCACGGCACCCCGGAACCAGCACACGGCAAGGCCACAGCCTGGGGCCCGCACTGCCGCGGTGAGCCGCCAGAAGGCGCCACCAGACCGGCAAGTGCAAGACCTTTGTGCACAGAAGTGCATCCCGAATTATTGAGACAAGTAATAACTGCCCGAATTTCCGCCCCGAGTCACATACACAGTTTCGACTCCGGGCACACTGAGGCGGACAAATCGCGCCCCCCCCCTTGAGGCCTGAGGGCGGCAACAGGGGGGAAAAAAACACAACATGTTATCACACCTGCTATACATGCGTACAATCACTCACTCTGACTCTATTCTGATATGTCAGAAACAAGGATGCCGCCACACAGTGTCTCAGCCTGATGTGTCAGAAACAAGGATGCCGCCACACAGTGTCTCTGCCTGATGTGTCAGAAACAACGATGCCGCCACACAGTGTCTCTGCCTGATGTGTCAGAAACAAGGATGCTGCCACACAGTGTCTCTCCCCTGCCGGCACGAGCGGCGGCGTTCGCAACGGGATCTCATCCACAGCCCTCTCTGTCCTCAACCCCCTTCTTCCCCTTGGGGGAGGGGTTTACCCCTCCCCCTACCCCCTCCCCCTGGGCCTGGAAGGGGCGTTTCGCGGGTCGTTGGGTCACCGAAGATGGCCTAAGATGGCGCCAAGAGGGCCCAAGAGAGCTCAAGGTGACCTCCAAGATCGCTCAAGATAGCCCTCGATGACTCAATATAGCTCCCAACATGCGTACAAGACGCTCCAAGACCGCCCCAAGACGGCTCCACGTGGTCACGGGGCTCCCGATGCATCGTGTAATTGTTTTATACCATCGGAGGCCATGTTAAGTTCAAAACTCAATGGTCAAAACCCAATGTAAATATTCACTATCTGGGCCCAAGAGGCTGCCACATAAGCGTGGAATATATACAACCAATACAATATGCGAGGCGCGCGCGCGCTGGTGACCCGCGCGGGGCCGGGTCACCCGCGCGCGCGATGCATCCTGTATTGGTTGTATGCAATCGGAGGCCATGTTAAGGTGAAAACTCAATTGTCCCAACCCAATGTAAAAATTCATTCTCTGGGCCCAAGAGGCGGCCATATAAATGTAGAAAAGATACAAACCAATACGATATGCGAAGCGCGCGGGCGCGCTGGTGACCCGCGCGGTGCCGGGGCACCCGCGCGCGCGCGCGATGCCTCCTGTATTGGTTTTATACAATCGGAGGCCATGTTAAATTGAAAACTCAATGGTCAAAACCCAATGTAAATATTCATTCTCTGGGCCCAAGAGGCGGCCATGCCAACGTCAAATATAGAAAACACAATACAATTTGCGAGGCGCGCGGGCGCTGGTGACCCGCGCGGGGCCGGGTCACCCGCGCGCGTGCGCGATGCCTCCTGTATTGGTTTTATACAATCGGAGGCCACGTTAATATGAAAACTCAATGATCAAAACCCAATGTAAATATTCATTCTCTGGGCCCAAGAGGCGGCCATGCCCACGTCAAATATAGAAAACACAATACAATGGGCGAGGCGAGCGCGGGCGCGCTGGTGACCCGCGCGGGGCCGGGTCATCCGCGCGCGCGCGCGCGATGCATCCTGTATTGGTTTTATACAATCGGAGGCCATGTTAAGGTGAAAACTCAATTGTCCAAACCCAATGTAAAAATTCATTCTCTGGGCCCAAGAGGCGGCCATATAAATGTGGAAATATACAAACCAATACAATATGCGAAGCGCGCGGGCGCGCTGGTGACCCGCGCGGTGCCGGGTCACCCGCGCGCGCGCGATGCCTCCTGTATTGGTTTTATACCATCGGAGGCCATGTTAAGCTGAAAACTCAATGATCAAAACCCAATGTAAATATTCATTCTCTGGGCCCAAGAGGCGGCAATGCCAACGTCAAATATAGAAAACACAATACAATATGCGAGGCGCGCGGGCGCGCTGGTGACCCGCGCGGTGCCGGGTCACCCGCGCGCGCGCGCGATGCCTCCTGTATTGGTTTTACACAATCGGAGGCCACGTTAATATGAAAACTCAATGATCAAAACCCAATGTAAATATTCATTCTCTGGGCCCAAGAGGCGGCCATGCCAACGTCAAATATAGAAAACACAATACAATATGCGAGGCGAGCGCGGGCGCGCTGGCGACCCGCGCGGGGCCGGGTCACCCGCGCGCGCGCGCGATGCATCCTGTATTGGTTTTAGACAATCGGAGGCCATGTTAAGTTGAAAACTCAATGATCAAACCCCAATGAAAATATTCACTCTCGAGGCCCAAGAGGCGGCCATCTAAACCTTGGCAGGTCTTAGCAGCATTTCCATTCCCCTCTGTTTGGGCAAGGGGAAGAAATGGGCCGCCACCAATGGATAGACGCCCCCCGCCAGTCAAGCCGCGCCGAGGGTGCGACGGCGCCAGGGGGATGGGCAGATAGACGGACAGAAGATGCGCAGACGTTTCGGTGCGACGGCGCCCGGGGGGATAGATGTAGATACATGGATACGCCGCGCCAGCCAAGCAAAGCCGACGGTGCGGCGGCGAACGCTTTTTGAATATTGACCAGAACGGAGATCAATACAGGGGGATCCCCCTCATGGCATGTTGTCCTCGCAAAAGCTCTTCTCAATCTCGTGCATCTGCTTTCCTGGCGTCGCCCGCGTAGCCACCGACGACCTGCGCGTTGTCCACGCACACGCCGGCCGCGCACTTGCCAGGCTTCAACGCTGGAGCAGGCTGCATCTCACGCATAATCTGGTCAGCACCTCCGCCCAGGGCCCGCTCCAAACGGTGGGCGGCGGCCTCATTGGCGAAGAAGAGGGCCCACGACCAGCCCATGCAGACAGCGGCCATGCATGGGTAGAGTACCTCACCGTCCTCGACCTTGGTCTCCGCCCCCTTGGCGTCGTCCCAGATCATGGCCGGCCGGCACCCCATCTCCTCCAGCTCGTGGGTGTCGAAGCGGTCCTCGAGGCCGAACCGGGAGGCGAGCTCGGGGACGGTGTAGATGTAGAAGCAGTCCCCGACGTCGCCCTCCTCCCCGCGCGGGCTAGCCGCAAGCCCCGAGCCGATGCCGCCGAAGCCGGAGGCCTTCAGCCTGGGGTCAGAGAGGTCCAGGTCAGCCATACAGCGCGAGGACCCCAGTCGCGTGGTAGGTGGCGGGCGATGTGCCCGATTGGCCGCTCGGGCGTCAATGATCAGCCTCTGGAGCCCATCCTTCTTCTTGACCACGAAGATGCCCGCGCGCCCCTTCAGCCGCCGGCGCCAGGTCAGCAGGCCCTGCTGGCACAAGCGCTGGTACAGTCGCCTCCGTAGGTCTCGCGACCGCCAAGCTTGGGGCCCCAGTGGGGCGAGGACGCCACGCGCTCGGCTCGGTCCCTCTCAAGCTCCGCCCCATCCATCTCGATCAGATCGGCTGAGTGCCTGAGGTAGCCAAGGGCTGCAGGAGGGAGCTCGCGCCGAATGGGCCGCACGTGTACCCTCCGATGCAGGATCTTGACTTTGTCAAACTCGAAGCTGGCCAGGTTCTTGGGCTCCATGCCGCAGTGGTCTCTAGAGTCGAGGATCTCCGACAGGGATGATTCCTCGGCAAGGTCAGCAGGGCAGCCCCCATACGCCTCGACCCGCCGGGCGACGTTCTGGAGCATCCAGCGCTGCACGGCGGTGGGACGGAGGCGCCCCTCAGGTGGAAGATCGTGCCCCTGGGCACGTCGCGAATTCCGGTCGGCGGCGGCAAGCTGGTTCAGGGCCCGAACCGAGTCAAAAACTTGCCGTAGCCGCCCAGCGTCACATCGCCGAGGGCAGCAGCATCTCGAGGCAAAGGGAAGGGATCTCCGCGCCGTCGATCTCGCGCCCTGACCCCTCCGGACGTGGAGGTGGCGAGCCCACGTAATTGTCGGCTGCGGGGGGGCTTTGTCGACGCCCGGGCTGCCAGCGCCGGCGCCCCCGCAGCTCCGAGAGGCAGCATCCCTCGTATCCGGCGCCGCCTCCGGCGCCAGCGCCCTTCTCTTTCTTCTTCTTCGGACCTTTGCCGTCGTCATCTCCGCCCTTCTTGCCGTCGCCCTTCCTCGTCTGCTTTTGCTCCTCCTGATAGAGCCGCTCTTGTTTCCAGATGGCGGCCCTCTCCTTGAGGCGGTCGGTGACCCAGGAGTTGAACTTCGAGGTCGAGGCACGGCCCACGGCGTTGACGGGCGCGGATATGACTACGTCGAGGCCACTGTAGTCGGGGTGACGAGGGTTCCTTTCCACCGCTATCTCCGTCTGGATCAGCCAGCGCACGATGAGCTCGGCCGACGCCATCATCGAAAGATCGGCCTGGCCCCAGGAATGCATGAGACGAATCACTTCACACAAGTTCCGATGCACGTGGTTGACGGCCAACCCCTCGCCCACGCCGCTGAGACGCTCCCACTCCGCCTGGTGCGAGGTCATGTTGCCCGGCCCAGCGCCGACGCTGTCGAGGAACTCTTTCACGCTCCTGATGCCGGCCAGCGAGAAGCCCTTCTGCTCGGTGTCGCGCACGAGGGCGACCGCCTCCGTCAAGTGGAGGACCCGCTGCCCGGCATCGTCCGTGTGGTCGCCGAGCGTGCGGACGTCGCCTAGGTCGGTCTTCGTCTCCTTCTTGAAGTCCGCCAGGCCGCTAGCCGCTATCTTCTGCACAAAGAACTCCTCGCCATCCAGCACCACCGCGCCCTTCGTGTCGAAGCTCGCGCCGTGGGCGTCGTCGTCCATCAGCGCCGCGTCCACGACCTCGCCGAACCTTGCCGAACGAGCCTCCGCGATCACCCAGATCACCCGCTCCACGGCGTCGACCTGGCCGACACCCAGCAGCTGGCCCTGCATCTTCGCCCTGCGCCGGTAGCCGGCCAGCGCCGCGCCCGCGATGGGGTCGCGAGCGTAGACCTGGTTCGCCAAGTGCGGCGGAAACGGCGCCCGCCTCTCCAGCACCTCGTGCTGAACGGCCAGCAGCTTGATCCGCACGAGCGCGAGGTCCGGGGTCAGCGCGATCCAGATGTCGCCGTCCACGCGGAACAAGAGCACCCTGTGGTGCCAGTAGAACCCATGCGGATCGTTCTCGTGCCTCACGAGGATCTGCGGGTCCGCAATGTCCAGGGTCAGCACGTCAGCCATATCGTCGGCTCGGGGTGCTCGGCCCGGCGCCGCCTGTCAAGGCGGCCGTCGGCGGCGGCTGAGGCTCTGGCGGGGCCGCTGCCGGCGCCTTGCGCGGAGGGCCCGCCTCGGACCCTCGTCCGCGCCCGCCGCAGCAGCAGCGCCGGCCCCAGCCGACCAGGAACCCCAGCGCTCCAGCGCCCGAGGTCGCGAGGCCGAGCACCAGCAGCCCGGCGATGAGCAGGCACCGGAGCGCCCAGACCTCAGCCTGAAGGTTCACGACCTCGCCCTGGAGGTCGATGATGCGCCGAAGCTCCTGGTCGCAGGAGCAAGGGCAGCCCTCCTCCGAGTCGCAAGCCAGCGGCGGCGGCGGGTGCCAGGCCGGGACCGCGGGCGTCGCCCAGCCCCACGACCAGCAGGCTCCCAGCGTCGCGCTCCACGCGGCCGCGAACGTCGCCCGGAGCGAGGGCGGCCCGTCCATGAGCCGCCCGCGCGGCGGGCCTCTCGGACTTGAGCAGCACGGATGCAGAGGCACGTGCGGGCATTCGCTGGCGGGCGAGTGGGGGCCGAGGGATATTCACGTCTCTGACTATACATTCCAATCATACCCACTAATAGCCGACAAGATACTCGAAAAGTCGTCCCCTGACTGTTTTCGGACTATTTCGAATATTGTTCATGTAGAGGGGCATGCCTAAACCATGGGCTTAGCAGAAACGCAGAGGCCGCCCTCGACAACAATGGGGGCCGTCAATGTACCACATGGAGTACAGTCGGGGCGTTGACCGAAGGAACCCTAAATAAGGAACGAGGCCCCTTTTTCCCATGAGATAAACTTCGATTTCCCATGGAAGCCCTAGGGAAAACCCAAGGCGAACTGTAAAACAATCAAGGAACGCCGAGCCCCTCCCCAACGAAAAGGGTTCCTTCTTCAAGACCCCTACTGTAAAGGCTGATTTGATCCATCCTCGTCGTCATCTCATCTTCACCTCGGCGCTGGCATTTGGCCGTGCTCTCTCGCCCGTCGCCGCTCCCAACAGCGTTTGGCTGTTCGCATGCTTTGCCTACGCGTCCACTCGAAGCAAGGTTGCAGTACTGTGCTGTACTGTAGAGGGACATGCTCGGCGTTAGGGAAACGATCAATGACATAAACACAAAAACTCGAAGGTCCGCGCGGAATTCTCGGATCGGCGTTGGACCCCCCTCCCTGGCGCGCGGAGCGCACAGGGGCGGCGCCGGAGGCGCCGCCAGGGGGGTCAAGCGCGCTTCCGAAAAAAACGCGCGGACCTCCGAGTCTTTAAGGTTGTTCGTTCCCCTAGACTTCGGTCGGGCGTGTGTCCCCTACAGGCGGATTCTGGACGAACGCTGAAACACAACCAAACAATACCCCAAATATATTCAAAAATGATATTAAAAAACAAAAAACAAAAAAGTCCCCTGGCTATGTTTGACTATTTTACGATACTCCCCCTAGACAGGCCCGACTTAACCCCGGGCAGGCCAGGCAGTGTGCAGCGCCAGCGTGGCCAGCGAATCGAAATCGCAATACACCATCGTATCAAAGAACACAGTCAGCAACAACTTTTGAAAAAAAATGTTTGAATGTGTTTGCTGCTATTTCGTAACACGCAACAAGCAAATCAAACACGATGCTCAAAGTGTTGTACGTTGCTCTGAACTTGTGTTTTGCTTTGTTCCCTACCTAGGCTCTGCCTAGTAAAAAGGTTCTTACTCGGTAAACTTAAAGGGCCGGGCAGTGTAACGCGCCCCGGGCGGTTCCCCCGGCATCCGCTCCGCGGTTCCCCCCAGTGACGTTCCCTTAGCTTAGCGTTGCTTATCTCATCTTGGCTTAGCTTATTTCATCTTAGCTTGGCTTCATCTTAGCTTAGCTTAGCTTCATATAGATGTTGCTTTCCTAGATCATCCAACTCCTAGGTAGGGTCGCACTGGGATGATTTTTTAACCGGCGCCCTCCGAGGCAGCGCGGCGGAGGGGCCCTCCGAGGCAGCGCCCGCGCGGCCGAGCTGCAGGGCGCCCCCCGCTCCGGAGGGCCCTCCGCGGTGGCCGCGGGCGCGGGTCGAAGGAGGCGCCGCGCGCACGCTCGGGCCGGGGCCCTCCGACGACGACGACGACGACGACGACGACGACGACGACGACGACGACGACGACGACGACGACGACGGCGGCGGCGGCGGCGACGGCGACGGCGACGGCGACGGCGACGGCGACGACGACGGCGACGACGAGGGCGACGACGCGCTGGGGGCGTGCCTTCAGCCTCCGAACACCGCGCACGGACTGCCCAGAGAGCCGCCGTTCCGACAAGTCTGGTGCAGGCGGTTTGGGGGCCGTTTTGGGAGTCCAGGGGCCGGCGCTCGGCCCTCTGAGAATTGATTCAACGAGATCAAACGAGATGTGAATGTTTCTCCACTGGACTCGGGTCTCTCCAGAACTACTGGAGAGCAGCAGTCAGACGCTATGCTAAGCTGCTGGGCCTGGGGCGCGGTAAGCGCCACCCTGATCCAAAATGCCTACTGCCGGGCATGGGGGGAGTCTGAAAACCAGGGCAGGACGCCAAAATGTTACGACGGATTTGGCAAATTAGCTCAACAGCCCGCCGGTGAATTCGCATCGTCGCCTGCCTGGCATTGCAGATAAATAGATACAGCCTCCGCCGCACCCAACCAACCTCCATTAACTTGCAGCACGCTGCACAACTTGGACAAACGGTGGGGGCGATGCCACCCATGCTGGACGGATTTCGGGAACCTTGCCGAAAAACCTCTTGCATGTGTCCTGTGCCAGGGGATTGCTGAGAAAATCCTGGAACAATCTTGAAATCCCCACGCGGGCCCACACGGGGTCAAAAGGGCACCTTACCCACATTTTCCAGCACCTGGCCTCATTGGGCCGGCGCTCTCTGTCGGGTTTGGGCGACCACGTGCTGAGATGGTTGACGTACGCTCTCGGGAAACCGAATCGCGAAAGCCTGTCGAGGAACACCCCGCGGGCCTCGGCGCTGATGGCCGTGCTCGAAGAATGTCTGTCTAGCCTCGCAAGCTCGGCTTGCGGCCACGCCACGTGTACAGACATGGGATGTGATGAATTACACGATAGAGGAACTCCTAAGCTAGTGGGTTTCCAGATGGGCTTGTAATCCAAAAAGCCATGCTTTTGAAACCTGGGGCCCTTGAAAATGTGGATGTCGAGAAAATCAACCCCACGGAACGAATTCCCTTCTACTTTGCACCTGAAGCACGTGTCATTCTGCACTAGCCACTGGTAGCACTGCCAATAGCTCCGCATCACCCCCTCGGCGATGATGAGGATGTCGTCTTTGCAGCGGCAGTACAAGAGAATGCCGTGCTCGGCCAGCCAGGAGCTGCTATCGACACGGCCTCTTTCAAGACTATCATAAAACCCTGCGTCTGATAGATCGCCAGAGTAATTCATTCCCATGCCGGATCCAACGATGACTTTCCAGAGCTGGTCGGGGAAGAAATCGTTTATGATGTACTGGTGATCTAAGAGGAACTCGGACACGCGCCGAGCAGCAGACTTCAGATGAGGGGGCGCCACTCGAGTTGCCCCTGACACAAGTGTGGACGGGTCGCCAGACATGAAGAAGTCCCGCACGTCGAACCTGAGAAAGGCAACATTCGCAGCGAACGTGGTCTTGTTCAAAACCTCGATCAATTGTTCTGTGCTCGACAATATGTACGGTTTGTGCTTTA